TCGATAATTTTTAATTATAACAAGTCAAGTATATAAAAGATTGAAGTCTGGAGAAACTTTATTAAAGGTCAAAATTAAGTTTTTAAATATATAAATCCATATACATAAATTAATACACTATTCGATTGTCGAACTATCTTTAATGCTTTTACTTGTCTTGAACCTTCTATAAAATCCTTCTATCTATCATTTCCTACAATAATTACTTTGTTTTCTTTAGTTAGGGGCGTGCTATTTATCACATAATTTTTACAATAGATACATAGTGTTAGCTAGTGATCATGTCTATATATATAATATATACTAACAGCTACTGAGCCAAGATTACAAGCTACAGTTCATACTATAGTACAAAATTTTATTGGTCAGATAAAAAACTAAACATACGTATGTACATATATACAAACATGTATATACACACGAGATTACAGATCATAAAGACAAAAGTTATACAGATCATTAGACAACAGGCTCTTTTAATTTTTTTATACATTAAAAACTACAGTTCTAACTAAGCAAACTCATGTTAATTATAGATTCTAATATCTATTAATTTCTATTTATTATCAGATTATACATTACACGAATTCAAAATCTCAATATCTAACAAATCATGATCAACTACATCTTTGGCAACTCTAAAGTTTAACAAGTCAGCAGCTAGTGAGGTTTTATCAATTTGCTTTCGAGGTCGACCACATTTGGATAGATGTTGCTGACGCTTGTGATTTGTGATGAACTTCAAAGTAGGAAAATACTTACCACACTTGCTACAACATAAATGCTGGTACATTTCTTTAGAAATTGATGGGTATGAATGATTATAAGATGGAATCTTTAATTTGTTAAAGTATTGGAGGGCATGTATTGGATCAATAAAATGTCCATTCATTTCTTTGGCAATTGGAAGAAGAAATCTATCATTTTGGTCTAATAAAAGTGCTGCATCAGGAGCCCTGTATTCACAACAACACTGACGATCTTTATATTTTTTTAGATTCAAAGAATATCAACATAACTGAGCATGACACTCAATCCATTCTTATGTTGGAAATACAATATCACCAAATGGTTAACTAATTTGATCGATATAGTGTACTGTTACAAGTTTACCATATATATCATCTCTATTCCAAAGTTCACACAACCTATTTTCTGAAAATTCAAAATTACACCATGCTAACTCTTCATCTACAACATTTCCTTGAGAATCTAGATGCATACCATATTTATCTATAGATAGGGTAATACCAGCAAGTTTTTCTGATAAAGAAGCCATGCTTCTTTCTATGGGATTATAAGCACTTTGATATGGCACATGTATACGGACAGTTAAATAATCAAGATCTAGAGCTTGGAATAAGTTACAATATTCAACAATATTTTTAAAGTGCTTTGGATTCTCATCAGGTCTCCTATCGACAAGAAGAACCCAGATTGGTCTAACTTCATTTTTTTTCAATAAAATGGATGCAAAATCTTGGTTTTTAACAAGGCTTAATAAATCAATCATATGTGTTGATGAAGATATGCTCACAAAATATTCAGACCTGATAAAGATAGCAAGTTGCCCAGAGCAAAGCATAGTATTTGAATTATTAGGGTCAATAAGAAGGTATACAGAAGCTATAAGTTTCATTTTACTTCCTTTAGAAAAATTATGATCTTCAATAGTAACTGGTTCATTTATCGATTGTATAGCCTTAAACGTATAGCCCACCACAGGAATACCTAAACCAATTTTAGCTTTATCATCTTGAGAGATAACAACAGTATTACTTGCAAATACTTCCACAAAAACTCGAGCTGCTTTAACAGATGCCAAACAATAGTGTTTATCGATATGTTGTCTCATATCAGTTCTTGCTACTGATGCCAGACCAACTTTTGCAAGATGGTGGTGATGGTGGGCTGCGAATGTGTATTTGTATTAAGGTTTCAAATATGTAGACAAACATTGGCGCGAAAGATAGATATTATATTTTTCCTCTAATACTTCACGCAAATGTTTAATTATACGAAATTTAATTATTGTCTTTCATCTTTTAGCATGAGCAGGTCCGAATTCTATACAATCATGGATATTGTCCCAAAGATTTGGATTTAGCATAGCTGCTGATAGTTGTCCAGGTTTATCATACTGTATAACAATACTTTCATCGTTGAGTTGTTTTTGTTTTTTTGCCCTAAGTTTAGCTTAAGCTTCTGTGTGACGTTTAAGTTTTCTTAGCCTTTTTTCACTTACTTTAATAACTATTCGATTCTTTTCAATTTTGGTTGATAATTTTTTTTTTGTTTTTTGATCACTAATAAGTTTAATTGCTTGTTCACATTCAGATATTCGTTGAGTTGCTTCCTTGATTTTGGTTATTGCATTTTTTTGACCTACTGCATTTTTTGCAATAGTATTGGCATTGTCAAACAGTTATGGTGAAATTACTGATAAAGTGGGTGAGGACAAAGCCAATGTAGATGTAGATGCTTTGTTAGAGTTAGTGTTTACTATAAAGCTATGATGTGTGTGTGAATTGTGCTAGGAACCATTGTTAAGTATGATCGGATCTTTTCACGAATAGCTGTTTCATTTTCTTTTTTTATTTCTTTCCATACTGTTCGGGCTTCATTTAGTAATTTTTGTTTATTGAGAGTAGAGTTGCAAAGAGTCACCTGCTTATAATATGTGCAAATATTGGTGAATTCTTGGTACAAATTAGATGGAGACTTGTAAAATAAGTACATATCAAAGTTAGGAAGTTTTAAAAAACTTTGCATTTTTTTTTTCATGATGAAAGAGAAAAAATCTAACTTATAACATCATTTTTATTTGAGGTGGTTCGAATTCAAAGATTCTTTATTGATTTTAAATAAAGATTAAAACCTTTATTTATTACAGATAAATATATTTTTTTTGACACACAAGAGTATTTTAGAATTACATTAGATTACAATGATGCTACAAAGTAGTGTTCCTATGAACCTGAACTGAACTGAACTTTGGTTAAGTTCAGGTTTAGGTTCAGTTCAGTCATGTTCAATATTGAACTTTTAAGTGAAGTTTATGTTCAGTTCAGTTCAATATTGAACTTTTA